AAAATACATTGACGTCCTGCAAAGATCGCCCATAGGGAAGCTATTTTGTGAGCACCGATCAGCTGTTAAAATGGCTGTCCTCCGAAGCATGGGTCCCAAAAACACAGGGAAGCCATTTTGCGAAGCCGCCGATCAGCTGTAAAAATTGTCATCTTGCGAGAAAACGGTCCACGAAGCATGGACCAAATCATTGTCCAGCGAAAATCGCCCATTGGAATCATTGTTTTGTGAATCACTATAGCGATCGCAAAACCTCATCGTCATGCGGATTTGTCGTTTTACGAGGTCATCATCTAGCGAGGTACCACTGTAATCCCTAGCCCGTGTGGTCACTTGAGGTGTAAGCCTGAGACATCAGGAGTATCTGAGCAAAACATCACATTCCTAGCTCTTATCATTTCTGCCATCTTTTGAGATGAACAATCAAATAAGCATAGGAACATTCTCTGCATCATTTTTTTAAAAAACAAAGTTATTTTGATTTTAAAGAAACCAATTTTATGCCAATTTTTCTTGTTGTGCAATTAATGAAAATAAAGCCCTGTGTGAGAGGGATGCTCCAGCTATCCCTGGTGGGTTCTCTGGCCTTGCCCCATGCCCTGATGCTGGATTTGATGGAGATTCCAGAAAAAGGACTTTGGAAGTTGCAGAAAGAAAAAATGAGGTCCCAGGTGGGAAGAACGAAATGGAGATGGATAAGCCACTCCTTAATGAGCTGAGCCAAGTTGCCAAGACTCAGCTTAAAAGAGAAAGAAGAAGAAAAGGAGGAGGAGGAAGAAAAGAGGAACTCATCACTCTCAACAGAAACAGATGGGGAGGATTGGGTAGAAGTACAGTAGCAGAAGAAGCAGCCCCCCATATGCTGAGCTCTGGGGAAGGACTGTCCAGTGATAGTTGAAAATCCCTGGACTGGGGAGTGGATCGAGGTTTAGTGCACTGATGAGGGCCGGCCCCCCAGAAATACATTCCAGAATCAGACGTGTTCTACAAAAAGCCAACCCAAGGAAAGTGTGTTAGAATATCGCAATTGTCATTCTACACTACCTACATGGAGGGGAAAAGCTCTCCCCTGATACCAGCCGCTGGAGACCAAGGAAACCCACTGGGTGTCCAGGCCCTACACTGATCAAGAGGAGGTGCTGGTGGAGGAAGTGCAAAAAGAAGCACCTTCAGCAGAGCCACCAGGGGCAGGAAGGACTTGGGGGCACAGGAGCCTGTAACAACCCATCAGACTCTGGGTTTGAAGGAAAACCCGACATAGGTGGTTCTCAGCAGACCACCACATTACTTTAAACAAGCTATAAACCTAAAATCGAGGATTGGTTTAGTTGATCCTGGAACCCACTTGAATCCTGGCTTGTCATAATGCCCAAGTTTAACTAATGTTTGGTGGCAGCTATTTAAAATTCTGTGGATACAGTCCCATAATTGGATTCTAGTCTTTCATAATTCATATGGGGATGAACCATACTGGTTCATGTGTTGTAGTCTCTAGGATCAATTATTGCAATGCTCTTTATGTGGGGCTGCCTTTGAAGGTAACACAGAAACTACAGCAAGTGCAAAATGCACTAGCTAGGCTTGTGTCACGAGCTTGAAGATACAACCATGTCTCTCCAATTCTGTTACATCTGTATTGCCTTTCTGTTTGCTTCTGTGTCGGATTCAAAGTGCTAATACCAACGTATAATGCTCTTAACATTTTGGGACCTCACTACCTGTCAGAGGGGTTTTCCCTAAGATCATTTACCTGGGCTATCCAGTCTTCCCAGGCTTTGCAGTTATGAGCACTTACGACAAGAGAGGCCCAGAAATTTACCACTAGTGAACCAAGCCTTTTCAGTGGTGGTTGTGACATTGTGGAATGTGTTGTCTGTGGATATACGCCAGACTCCCTCCCTCTTGACCTTAAAGAAATGTGTGAAATCCAAGCCTTTTAAGGAGAATTTCAGAAACATACTTTCCTTATGATTTTCTTGCTGTTTGCATCATTGTATTACAGTATTATGTTTACCATTGCCTTTGGGAGTTTCTTTCTTCCTTTTTATGTTATGTTTATGATTTGGGTGTTATCTGCTGGTGGGTGAGTATGTGGGTGGTTAATGTGTTTATTTCTTTTTAGCCACCCAAACTAGTGGCTTGCCACTAGATGGGTGGGAAATAAATACTGTAAATATATTCCCAGCTTTTAAAATTGCACATTTAAGGCTATAAGGTCTTGCATTTTTAGAATGTAACTAGGGACGTGGTGGCGCTGCAGGTTAAATTGCAGAAACCTATGTGCTGCAAGGTCAGAAGACCAGCAGTCGTAAGATCAGATCCACGCAATGGAGTGAGCTCCCTTTGCTTGTTCCAACTCCTGCCAACTTAGCACTTCAAAAGCATGCAAATGTGAGTAGATAAATAGGTACCACCACAGTGGGAAGGTAATGGCATTCCATGTCTAGTCACGCTGGCTACGTGACCACGGAAACTCTTTGGACAAATGCTGGTTCTGTGGCTTGGAAATGGGAATGAGCACTGCCCCCTGGAATCAGATACAACTGAACTAAAAGTCAAGGGGAACCTTTACCTTTATCTTTAAAACATTTGTTGGTATTTTTTATTATTCTTTATATGCTCCTGGATTGAATTCTGATTTAAATTCTGCCTACAATTTAAGTTTTATTTTTGAATGTACTTTTGTTTGCAAGTTCTCATCATTGCAAGAATTTTTGAATGGCAATCGCACCTACAGCTTTTCACAAATTTCACGGATGGTTTTCTGTTTAAGCATTTGTTCCTACATTTTTCCATAGCTGTCAGACCTAGGATGTTTGCAATATTTGAAGTATTTTTATGCTTATGGTATATAGGTGCAATGTAGATAAATCAAGCTTGTTGAATTAGACAAGCTGATGTTGTTTGGAATCATTGCAACAATGAAAATACTTATACTGTGATGCTCAGATGAATTTTGATAGGATTGGAAATTATTGTCTCATTTCATACTAGAATAAACTCTTTTTTGGAATAAATGTTGTGACAGAGTTCTGATTCACACAGACACAGACACAGACACAGACACAGACACAGACACAGACACAGACACACACACACACACACACACACACACACACACACACACACACACACACACACACGAGTTTTATAAAGATCTGCAGGGCTCTTAGGGTGATGTTCAGGCATTGAACTCTCTGACCTGACACTTTGATTCACTGTTTTCACATTCCATGTTCCTTTTGCCTCTAGATACAGTGGGGTCTTGACTTAAGAACGGCTCGAGTTAAGAACATTTTGACTTAAGAACCACTCTCATAGGAAAATATTGACTTGACTTACATACTTAGATTTGAGTTAAGAACTGAAAAAAAACCACGTGGGAGGCAGGGAAAGTGCAAAATGTGAACTTTCAGTTAACTGTTCGCCAGTGAAAAGGGTGCCTGTGGATTGGGAGACAGTCTTCAGACTGCCTGGTACTGTACTGCCTGGACTGTATTTTCCCTGCCTTCCCTGAACCTTTCTTGACCTAAGAAAAAAAGAAACAAAATATCCCCCTCTAGTGGTCGAAGGTGGAATAGCAGCTTCCCATTAGTTTCTATGGACGGAAAAGAGCAGATACGGATCAAATGGTTTTCAATGCATTCCTATGGGAAATGCAGATTTGACCTGAGAATTTTTTGACTTGAGAACCGCCTTCCAATACGGATTAAGTTCTCAAATCAAGACCCCATTGTAACTTGTAGTATTGTTTTCAGTTGCTCCATTGCAGCAGCACTGTTTATGCTTATCCTTTACTCCCCAGTAGCTGACTGAATGTGGAAATTTCATCTGCTTGCGTTATCTGCTTGCTTTATTGTAGATCATGTAATCTTAGCATCTTCGAGGTTTACATATTCACAAATGGCTTGCATTGCTTTTTCTGCAAAGCACTCAAAACAGCAGATTAGCACTGCTATTTCTATGAAAGATCCTTCCAGTGTCATCTTCCAGTACTGTGGCGCTCAATAACTTCTCTTCAAGAATTTTGCCACCCCATTGGCTCTACCAGTTCTGTTATGATGATGTGCCTCTTAATTCCTGAATTTGATGGATGCATCTGGTGTCTCAGTTTTGACTGTTCCACCTTAGGTGACCCCGCTAGGAGTCTAGACTCCTGACAGTGTCCTACCTTCTTGACAGTTGAGTATTGCTCTCAACTTCCTTGACACACCCAAATTCCTTCACATCATTAAAGTGTGCATCCAGGACAGGGATGACTGTAAAATGTACAGTACTTTGCAACTAGTTCATGTGAGTGAGTATGTCTGTGTGTAAGACAGAGAGAGAGAGATAGAGAGACTTTAAAATATGTCTATGTAGCATGAAATGTAATGTACTGAGTTCTGGAAGATAAAAATTCATTCTGCATACATTTCCATTTGTTCTCTAGATTTTATCCAGATTAATGGTTTTTACTATAACAGTCTGTGAAGAGTTAAATAGCCAAGTATCCATACTTTCGAATTCTAGATTCTCTGCAGTGATATTATATATGAGAGGAAATCATTCTTTCAGACTTATAAAGAAGGAGAATTAGGAAGCCAACTGTTAAATGGATCATTTCTGAGATAAATAGCAAGCAGAGTGAACCAAAGGAAAAGCAGGTTAAGAACCAGAGATGAGAACTTATTTTTATAGTTGAGAAGTAAAATCTTCCTTTCTGATAATTTACAGAGGCATGCTAAGGTGAATTTTAATTATGACTAAATTGTGGTATTGCTCTTTCATACCCTGAACATCTGTTCCCTTCAAGAATGATGATTTATGCAGGCTATCAGTAGAGACAGCTTGCTACAGCTTATGTCACGGTTTGTGGAATGATGGGGTCGTATTCCCCCAAAATACCAGCTTTAAATGGATACTAGCCAGTGTGTTATTAGTGTAATAGGGGAAAGGGAGCATGATGTGTTCACTGTTAATTTTGAAGCCAAATATTGACTTTTCCTTTTTCCTTCCAGACCATCTGTTGTTAATGAAGAATGCAACTTGGACACTGAATGGTCTAGCCTTTCCTAGAGGTATCAACAGAAGAAAAGCCAAGCCTGTGCTTTCTAAACGAATGAAGAGACTCATAAAGAAGGCCTCAATCAGAGTTTTGGTGTTCAAGAATGGCACGGGACAGGATGGTTATGAGATATCAGTTTCCCCAGACCAAGCAGAAAAGGTAAATGGAAATATGACAGAATTTAAATGTGTTTTTAAAAAGGCTGGATAACTCAGTGAGTTACATATGTGCCTGCAGAGTTGGGAATTTGATCCTCTACAGTTCTAACTTGGAGATGAGCCCACCTGCGTGGCCTTGGCCAAGCTGCACAGCCCCAGAAGAAGGGAATGGTAAATCACTTATGAGTCCTCTCTACCTAGAAAAGCTTAGAAAGGATTACAATATTTCAGGTTCAACTTAATAGGTAAAGGTCCCCTTGACATTTAGTCCAGTCGTGTCTGACTGTAGGGCGCGGTGCTCATCCCCATTTCCAAGCCGTAGACCAAGCATTTGTCCGAATACAGTTTTCTGTGGTCACGTGGCCAGCATGACTAGACACAGAATGCCATTACCTTCCCTCTGTGGTAGTATCTATTTATCTACTCTCATTTACATGCTTTCGAATGACTAGGTTGGCAGGAGCTGGGAGAAGTGACGGGAGCTCACTTGCAGCACAGAAGCTTCTGCAGTTTAACCCGCAGCACCACCACGTCCCTTCAGCTTAATAGCACACTATTATTTATTATTATTATTTGTAAAAAAAATCACATTGGCATACCTTTTTATTCTTTTAATTATGAGGTTAGAATAGAGATTCAGTAGTAGCTTTTATGAAAATTGCATAAACATGTGGATGTATATGTATACATACTGCATACATAGAACTGCATTAATAGTACACAGTTATTGCAGAGACAATAACATCCTTTTTTCTTATTTGTACTTTTTTGTTCTAGAATTGCCTCATTTAGCTTAATGTAATTAGTTCAGAAAAGGCATAGCAGTTTATCATGTGGAGCACTAACATGGGGTTAGAGCAGTGAGGACACAAAGTACCTTACAAGCATTTTAGCATAACATCATAAAGAGATACAGGGATTCCCCTGACCTTGTAATGGCCTGAGCTGCAGTAACTATTCTTTGTGGATTGTCCCAGCTAAAAAAGAAGGGAATAAGATATTTTTTAAAATGAAGGAATGAGTGAGAAACAAGATTGGACAGAAGAACTGTAAAGGGCATGAAGGATGCATGGGGATATAAAGAGAGAGTTTAGAATAGCAAAGATAAAGCTGATATCTTAGTTCTGCTGTCCAAAGGGAACTGAGAGAAACGAGAAACAGACAGAGACTAGCAATTATCTGCCACTTTTCTTCAAAAAGATCACCTTTTCTTTTCTGTCCTTTACCTAAATATTACTGAAGAGAAATTGTAAAAATAGAAATGTATAATCAACTTTCATGACAGAAATGCATTTCCACTACTGGGACTCAACCATTCGTTTTCCTCTCCTGCCTCTTCGCTGCCTGACATTTCCTCCAGGAGAGAGCGGAACTTTTGCAGTGAAGTGACAAAAAAGGAACTGAAAAACATGGGACAGAATTCTATTGGTTCTTTACAGAGATGTTAAGTGCAGTGGCAGAAATCATAGGGGCAAACTACTGCTAGTTAACAGGTTGCTGCTTGCAGTCATCATTACACATCAAGTCACATGACTAGTGCATGAAAAGAATACAAGCAGCAACTCATTGACTAGTGATACTTCACTGTTTTAATTCTGATTTTGACCCTTCTAGTGTTGACCTAGACTAGAATCACAAGATTATTTGACAAGAATACCCCAACTTTTAGCAATGTCCTTTAGTTCACACGAATAGGAAAACAAAAGAGGACTGCATATTCAGAGTGAAGGTGGTATGGAGTGGGAAGCATTGGCCCCATCTCAGCTGACTTGATTTGCGTTCACAGATGTTGTCTAGTGATTTTCTTGCATAATCTTGTGACATCTCTACAATCGCTCTGCGATCCCGGATTGGCTGGGATCATATGGGCAATAAGAAATCAGAAGAACATAATGCTGAAGAAGCGTTGTAGAGGGAAAACACTAGTCATGTGCAGCCACAGAATAAAAGACTCAGGTGTTTATTTTTTCCCTTGGGAATGTGGTAACCCAGAAAGCACTGCTTTCTTCCTTGAAAGAAAAATAGGTAACCATACAGTGCCAGCCAAACATACTGGTGCTTTATGCCCCTTACAAAAGGCTTTTACAGTTTGAGGACTTTGCAAGATGGTTTTTGTTTTCTGAAGTTTTTAGATATTTGTACCACAAGATTGAACCTCACTTTACCAGCAAAATATATCTACAATACACATGGAGAAAGAATGGAAGATCTCACAAGTGGTAAGTTAAAAATATATTTTATGCTATTTTAAAAATAAAGAGGAAAGTGAACAACATGAGTTATTTAAATCTTACATGCCTATGTGTTTTAGAAATCAAAGATACAACCTCAGAGGATTAGTAATGGAAGGCAGTGTCATCTGAACTTTCCCCCTCATCAGGTTCTGTGAATGAGGCAGGATGATCCAACAATAAAATGAGGATCCAGATTTACCTGTGGATCCCCTAATAGGTGTCAGAGTGGTGGGCCAGGTCAGCAGTGACCCGTGCGGTCAGGCTCCCAGCAGCAAAGCATTTCCACATGTTCCCAGTAAATGTTGGGGTTTGTTGTGGTCTCTTGTTCCTGTGGCTTGAGCCTATTCAATACAATTTTTAAAGGCTCGTCATTCCACCATTGTTAATCTGTTTGTCCTCCTAATTAGAGATTGTACAGTGGTTTGTGTCTGTATATTTAATTACTCAGGCCGCAAAGAGAGAAGGTATTTCATTTTCATAGCTGAGGGACTGTTGTACATGCTTGAGGAAAGAGACAGCCTCCCACAGAGTTCCTCGTCATTTCAATAAGTAACCATCAGCATAAATGGCAGCATTATTTTCAGATGAAAGTTAACTGGATAGAGGAGACTTCAATATTTAACAGCCCCTAGATTCCTTAAGTGACACCATTTACATGTGTTAAGTGACACCATGTCTTAACTGAAATGTGTTAAATGGCAGCAATGAAAGAGATTCTGTGCTCCCTTCGTTCAGATAAGTATCCCTCAATATGGTACAAACATACTTCTGGGTAAATCTCTCAAAAGTGAAGAGAAGAATTCAGAATTTCTCTGTATAAGCTGTTACTGTGGGGTATTCAGAGGAAGAAATAACTTTTGTGATCAGTCAACTGTGACAGGTTGAGAGAAAGGGGAGGATATCCATGCCCATGATGTGAACAGAACAGAATGAAATGTGTATGCAATTCCAGATGTGGCATGAAATACAAAACAGCGAGAGATTGCTATGATCCTCTGTCTGAAAATATCCGGGAGAAAGCTGTGGGAATTAAGGCATATATATCTAGTATCAAACAATATTATACCACTAGGCTTACCCAGAGAGACTAGGTAAGGACAATTCATCACTATACCTGTTAACCACACCCCATTCAATCTATGTCTAAGAGTTTGTTGGATCCTGAAATTGAAGAGCATTTGAGCAGACACACACATGTTAATTTTGAGATTAGCTTGGTGTAATAAATGTAGCTACTAGACTGAGCAATGAATCTAGGCAGCACAGGGAGAAAGAGGATGTAACAGTGGCAATATAAATACGTAGTTTGTTGGGTGTGTTCAAGTAGCGGTTCATCCCTGATGCTTTCACTCAGTACTAATCTGCTTTTATTGATGCCCAAAGACTAGGCTGGGGAAAATTTGAGCTCCACCAAGATTATGGGTCTTGCAAGGTTTGTTTGTTTTTTGGTTTTTTTCCCCCATGTCCAATGGGTCTTGTGGGGTTTGTTTGCTTTTTGATTTTTTTTCTCCCCCATTTCTGATGGGTCTTGCATGGTTTGCCTTTTGGGGTTTTTTCCCCCCTCATTTCTGATGGGTCTTGCGGGGTTTGTTTGCTTTTTGGGTTTTTTTCCCCACCATTTCCGATGGGTCTTGCACGATTTGTTTGCTTTCTGCTTTGCTTTTTTTGCTTTTACGAAGGGTCTTGCATGGTTTGTTCGCTTTTCTTTTTTCTTTTTTCCCTTTGGCCAGAACAGATTAATCACTTTTCTGATGAGTCTTGGAGTGTTGTGGGTTTTGTGGTGATTTTTTTCTTCAGCTGGAACGGATTAATTGCATTTCAATGCATTCCTATGGGAAATGGTGCTTCGACTTATGACCATTTCGAGTTACGACCGGAGTTCCGGAACCAATTGAGTTTGTAAGTCGAGGCACCACTGTATAGCTGTGGGATCAGCTTTTGTCCTTTTCAGAAGATTGGGTGATTGTGGTGATCAGCATGTTTTTGTTGTCGGTGTATTGTTGTGATAAGGGGGAGAGATGATCTGTCACTGTGATTGATGGGTGTCGTTAGCTGGTCTTATGTGTGTAGTGATCCCGTCGTTGTGGTTGGGTAGAGTTCATTGACCTTTTGCAGGCTATATTTTTCAATGCTGGGAGCCAGGCTTTGTTCAGTTTTAGACTTTCTTCTTTTTTGTTGAAGCTCTACTAGTGTTTGTAGATTTCAATGGCTTCCCTGTGCAGTCTAGCATAATGATAGCTGGTGTTGTCCAGTATTTCTGTGTTTTGAAATAGAATTTCATGTCTAGCTTGTTTCAGGGCATGTTCAGCTACTGCCAATTTTTCAGGTTGGTTTGTGTGTGTTTAGTCGTTTAGTCGTGTCCGACTCTTCGTGACCCCATGGACCAGAGCACGCCAGGCCCTCCTGTCCTCCACTGCCCCCCGGAGCTGTGTCAGGTTCATGTTGGTTGCACTGTCCAGCCATCTCATCCTTGGTCGTCCCCTTCTCCTCTTGCCATCACACCTTCCTAACATCAAGGTTTTTTCCAAGGACTCTTTTCTTCTCATGAGATGGCCAAAGAGGAGCGCTGATAAGCGAGGCGCACTGCCGGCCTTTTCCCTGAGCGCCCAAGCCACCACCGAGCAGAGCTCGCTCCCAGCCCCTCCTCATATAGTGCCTCCAAGCCACCAACAGCAGCTGTCGCCGCCTCTTTCAGGGAAGTGGCTCTCTGGCTCTCTTGGCAGGCCCAGCACCAGCCTGGCCAGCGGTTGCCTCAGCACCCAGTGGTGCTTCCTCCTCCTCCTCTTCGTCCTGCTTCAGCCGCCTAGGCTCTGGAGGCTGCCTGGGCTTGCCTCGCAAAGTTTGCTCCTTTGTCATAGTGGGGGTAGCTGCTTCTGCTGAGTGCATTTTTTTGAGGGGGCCCTCAGAGGAAGGTTGCCGGACCTCCATATGTGTGTGTTTGTGTGCATGCGCGCACGCACACCTGCCCCCCGCCCCATTCTGTTTAATTTCGTGGGTACCGGTGAGGGTTTTTCTACTTTGGCAAGGCAAATTCTGTGAGGGTTTTTTTATTTTTATATAATGCCCTCCTCCTCCAGGCTAGGCGGTTGCCGGTGCTCCCTCCCTTCTCTGCTTCTTCATCCTGCTGCTGCTGGTGATGGTGGTAGTGAAGAAGGAGCCGGAGGAGGTTGTGGCCAGTGAGAAGGGCTCATGTGCCCCTTCTCCTCCTCCTCCTCCTTGGAGGCCCAACTGGGCTAAGGAAACTCCTGGGAGGCTTCCTCGGGCTCTTGCTCCGCTTGGCGGAAAATGTGATGTGGCCCAGCCTCACCCAGACTCTGCCTCCAGTGGCCCCCAGGTAAATTGAATTTGAGACCCCTGATGTAGACGTTTGCTATTACCAGGCTGAGAGGGCTCTCCATGGCCACTCCATGTGTCTGTTCATAGAACTTGTTGTCCCACTGAAAGTAGCTGGTTGTTAGGCAGTGTTGGAAAAGGGCCTTTATTTGTTTGTTTGTTTGTTTATTTGCTCGCTCGCTCGCTCACTCACTCAAAATACTTTATTCTGCCTTTCTCCTTAAAAAGGACCCAAGGTTACTTACATTCTTGAAAGACAATATTTAAGCTGAAAACAATATGCAGCAATGATTTACATCATTAAAAGACAATATTCAAAACTAAGAACAGTGGGTATGAAGAGGTAGCTTAATACTGGAACCCATGTCCTATGAGGAGTGACTTAGGGAGCTGGGAATGTTTAGCCTTACAAAAAGAAGGTGAAGAGGGGACATGATAGCTATGTTTAAATGTTTGAATGGATGTCATGTTGAGGAAGGGACAGGTTTGTTTTCCATGGCTGCAGAAAGTGGGACAAGGAGCAATGGTTTCATACTAGAGGAAAAGAGATTCCACCTGAATCTCAGGAAGAACTTCCTGACAGTCAGAGCTGGTCACCAGTGGAATATGCTGCCTTTGAGTGTGGTTGATTCTCCTTCTTTGGAGGTTTTTAAGCAGAGGCTGAATGGCCATCTGTTGGGAGTGCTTTGATGGAGTTCCTGCATGGCAAGGGGTTGGACTCGATGGTCCCTGTGGTCTTTTCCAACTCTGTGATTCTATGATTCTATATCATTAAAGACAGTATCAAAGAGGACTAAAGCCCCAGTCAGAGTAGTGATGCATAACAGCCGCCCCGAGTAGACATTGTCTAGAGGGGAGGGGTAAAAATCAAATAAATAAATAAATAAATAAATAAATAAATAAATGAATGAATGAATGAATGAATGAATGAATGAATGAATGAATGAATGAATGAATGTCCTGATAAAGTTTACTCATGTAGCCAACCATGTGGCCACTCACTCATGTCGGCAATCATTGAAGGAAAGCTTGGCTGAAATGTCTATAAAGTTTACTCATGTAGCCAGCCATGTGGCCACTCACTCATGTAGGCAGTCATTGAAGGAAAGCTTGGCTGAAATGTCTTTGCCTGCTTTTGGAAGGACAGCAAAGATGAGGACAGTCTGGCTTCCTGTGGGTGGGTGTTGAAAAGTCTGGGAGCTACAGAGAAACCCTTCTCCTGTGTCCCCATCAGACACACGTGTAAAGGTGTTGGGACCAAGAGAAACACCTCACCGAACACCTGAGCTGGCTTATAGTGGGAGACACGGTCTTTGAGATAGCTTTGACCCAAGTTATTTTAGGGTTTTATAGGTTAGAGCCAGCACTTTGAATTGTGTCCGGAAACTGATTAGGAGCCAGTGGAGCTGCTGCAACAGAGGGATTATGTGATCCCTGTAACTAGCTCCAGTCAGCAATCTGGCTACTGCATTTTGGACCCACTGAAGTTTCCTGACACTTTCCATCATCATCTCCACATAGAACAAGTTACAGTAATCCATTTGGGAATTAACTAGGGCATGTATGACAGTGACCAGATCAAATAGTCAAAGCTATGGTTTTTCCTGTAGTGTTATATGGAAGTGAGAGCTGGACCATAAAGAAAGCAGACC